GTCCTGCGACCTGGCGCTCCTCCGTTGGTCCTGCAGGAGTGCCCGGGTCCGTAGAGCCCCGCGCCAGCCCCCGGCAAGCGCAGCCTCCGTCCCGCTCTGCCTCTACCGTAGAGGATGGTCGGTTGGCCCAACGCTTTCGCCCCGGGAGATGGTCGGCACGGAGGAGCAGCCTTCGACGGCGGCCCTCGCTCTGTACGCGACAGGGCCTACTCCGAAGGGTACCGGCGGAGAGTTCTCACAGGGCGCCCCCAAACCCGCGGCAGAGAGCGCGGCGGGGCGGGGCGCGGAGCAGGGGCGGCCGCGAAGGGGCCCGACGACGCAGTTGTCCTCTGCGCCGGCGAGTGTCCTGGCCGAAGAGTCCTGCGGTGCTGCTCGGGCTATGGTGGCAAGTCCCACGGTGGTGGTGACGGGAAGGGCGCAGCGGCGACGCGTCTGAAACAGAACAAAAAGGGCGTAAGATATGGAACCACACAAGGCAGCGTGCTAACAGAACTGGTACAGCGATCAACGAACACTCACCTTCTCTGAACGACGACCGCAGCGACGGCAACTGCGAGGTCCACGGGCTGTAGGAGAAACCCCAACCCTTCCCCATTTATTTAGTTCGAAAAACATCTTTATTCAAATCTTTTTACAGACAGGTAGAATAAACAAAGTAGGCTAAATGTTGAAGCAGGCCGTCCCTCCTCGACGCGGCGGCGTAGTGGCAGTCTCGTCTGCCAAACAAAAACGGGAGTAAAGATCGAGAAATGCCAGACAAAAAGAAAATGAGGAAGGGAGGAGGGGGTGCTAGTCGTACTCACCTTGTAGGCTTCGGCCGTGCGCTCGCAGTTCTACTGCAGTACTCAGACTATGCCTGGAACAAGGGAGGGTTTGAGCAACGAGCCGACAGAACAAACCAAGTAACATTCAAGGGAGAGGCGTTATTGACGAACTCCTATTTCAGCCGGACGTCGTGCCTCGAACGTGCGTCCATTTCAAAAACTTGTCCACCAAATGCGATATTTGCCCGTGAACACGCCAGCCACCCCCGCCGACTCCACGTACCAACCGCCGCCCCTGGTGAGCGAGCCGGCTCGCCACCTGCACTGAAGGTGCGAGGCAGCAGCGGTAGCGCTGGAGGGCGGGTACGAGACGCTCGTCACACTAAGGGCCGGCCCCAAGCGCCTGAAGGGAAAGACGAGCGCACCGTCGGGGCACGGCGGCACACAGCCAGCTCACACGGCAGCAAGCAGGACAACCACGAAGCTGGACATCCGTAGAAATACTCGTTTGCCGACAAAGCCCCTCGTTACCAAAGCCTGGACCGGGCGCCTCGCAGCGGCGAACCTGAGCACAACAAACAGACGATTAATGCAAGCGTCAGATGGAAAGAAGGCATTACCAGGTCGGATGGTGAAACACCTACCGTGTCCGGCTGTAAAACGCGCCCCAACAACGCAGTCTTGTCCTCTGCGCTCGCGATGAGTGTCCTGGGGCGCTCCTCCGGCCATGGTGGGGGAAGTCCCACGGTGGTTGCGACGCTGGCGGTTGCTGGTGGTGGAGCCGCGCGACGTGGTGATCCTGGTGGTCCGCGTAGCCACGCCCGGTACGACGGATCTACGAGAAGAGACGGGAACGAGTTAGATGCGAAGCAAACTTTAGAAATAAACAAAACCTATGAGAGGACGTTGACATAGGAGTGAATGAAGTTCTAAACGTGACATTGCTTACCTCCTGTGGCCGACGCGCGCCGTGTCCGCTGCCTCCTCTGGACAGTTACCCGGGCCTGGGCGGCGAACCTGAACATACAAAAACAAGATTAATACAAGCGTCAAGTAGAAAGAGTTAATTTCCATGTAGTGTGAACGGACAGGCATGTGTACCGTGTTAGCTGGAGCGCCGCGTCCTATGCGCGCCGATCGAGAGCGTCCTGCGTCTGCAGCACTGCTCGGGTGGTGGTTGTGGTGGCGGTGATGGTGATGTCCTGCGACCTGATCCTCCTCCGATGGTCCTGCAGGAGTGCCCGGGGTCCGCCGAGCCCCGCGCCAGCCCCCGGCAAGCGCAGCCTCCGTCCCGCACGGCATCTACCGCAGAGGATGGTTGCAGCCCAACGCTTTCGCCCCGGAGATGATCGGCACGGAGGAGCAACCTTCGACGGCGGCCCTCGCTCTGTACGCGACAGGGCCTAC